ACTGTCTGTATTTCTTCTTTTATCTAATTTGATAGGAAACTAAGAAAATCACATTTCTGTTTGTTATATAAATACAAAATCATTTTACATAGCAAAATTAGCTGCTATGCTAAATAACATTTTAGTGTAGTGACATTAAACATCTGGAGACAAAGAGTACCTGAGCCCCACAGCTTAATTTTCCTTTGAGGTTTATCTATTTTTACGTACATTTCCTGGATGTCAGCTTATAGTAATTACTCTTCTACACACATCTCTAGCACTAATGTGACAGACTGTGAATGCTTCTTGACAATGGAACATAATATCCTCCTTACAGGTTTCCACCAGCAAGGCTACAATCTTACCATCACGTGTATAAACATGCAAAAAGCCTTACTTTAAACATTAACAAATTTCAATTATACTTGGCTTACTGTTAAAATTCACATACAGATTAGACTTTTCTCAATAAATCTACAAAATAAAGCAAGAAATAAAGATCTTTGAGTACAATGTGTGACATCTGTATCTGAGAGCTGCCTCAACTTTGAAGCATTTGTAAATTATGTCAGATCATTTGAAAAGTAGAAAATATTTTCATTTCAAGACCTGCTTTCAATAAGTGTTGCTTACAAAGACAGAATACCAATAAAATAACTAAAAAGCAGGTCCTAGTATTTTTGGGAATATGACAAACTGTTCGTCTGTGACACAGGACTAGACATGGAATGACAACAGTAATTCCAGCAAAGCAGCAGGAATGTTTGTATTTCTCATCTGGCATTAAAAGCAGCATGCTCTATGTAGGCCTCATTTGTAAACCTCCACGAATTTCATCAAAGACATCACAGTTTTATCCAGAGAAAGAGCAAACATGTTCTGAGCTACTTAGCTTTATTTCTCTGTGAAAGAAAAAGAAAGAAAGAAAGAGAATGACTGAAAATTCAGTAAATACAGGACTTCCATTTAATTAGAAGGACTTCAAAATAAATCAAAACACATAAAACAACAAAGCTGCTACCCTGGAGGATGCACTGTACATCACAGTGACTCTGGCTCACATCCACAGATTTTTACATTCTTTTATTACTCAGTTTTTTGCATGATCTTGGACATAAAGTATGCAAATTATCCCTGTGATTTTTTTTTAATTTGGCAAGAAATTATAAAACATAAATTCAAATAAATTTTTAGAGTTTTGATTTGTGTTTTAATAAAATAAGGGGGTAATGGAACTTTTATAATATGTAAGATTTTCCTGAACTGTAAGAAATCAGAGGAACTATAATGTTTTAAGCAGTGGTACTTCTCTGGTTGCCTCTATTCCTGAGTATTTAAATAAGGACTGAAATATCAACAGCTTAAAAGTAAAATTAAAATATGAAAGCTCTAGATTTTTTCCTATTTTTTTCCTACAGCCTAGTAATATCTGGCTTTTTTCATGTATGAAGGGAAAATCAGAAGACTTTAAGTTTTGACAAATATAAGATAAAAGCAAGTTGAATAAAGCTAATCAAAAGGTAAATAGATAAGACCTACTTGTTTTTTAATAAATTAATCTCATTCGACTCCAAAACTACTACCTAGTAGAAAAAATGGTTTTCATGTTAAATAGACCAAAAAAGATTAAATACCTGGTATAAAATGTATTCAACTACTATAGGTTTTACCTTACCAAAATAAATCAAGTGCTTTCACATATTTAAATAAAAAGCTAGGGTCCTTAACTGTTAATCAGAACTATTTGTAAGCAAACAAAGCATGTTTTATTGAATAGTCCTTGTGTCTAGACAAACAATGCATTTATTGAAATTAATACATACCAAAAATTTCTGAAAGCAAATATTTTCTTTTTAATAAGTGACAAGTACTGCATTTTCAGCAGATGTGAGGACTGCCTACAATAATCATACCAATTAAATAATTCACATAATTGCCTGGTTCAAGGCAGTATTTTATTTAATATACTGCATTTTACTGCCTGTGATTATGAGAGAAATTTTCCTGGACTTTCTGGCATATGCAGACTCCTTTTCTTTATTCCTATGATCCTGTCAGTTACTGGTTTATGGATATCACACTGTCTCTAAAGATATTAATCCAGCAAGAAATAATTTTTGTAGAAAATACTAACTTATTTTTACTGTTTTGATCTGCTTAAAATATTTTATTCAGAAAAATATATTTTATAAGAAAGAAGGCTTGATACTGACTTAAAAGAAAATTCAAGGGGCATTCTATTAATGTGTGGAAGAAATTCTTGGAATTCAGTAATAATTTGGCAGAAAACTGGTGTTAGAATATCATCTTCTGTTACTGTCTTTTAACTCTATGAAGAGCAATACACAGATTCAAAAATGTTAATCTGAGACTTTTCAGGAATACTTATGCCAGTGTTTAAATTTTATGAATTAGTCCTCTGGAGATGCTAATGATTTCCCTTCATTTTGAACAGCTGAACTATTTTGTTCTAAGTAACAAAGCTCAAGCTGTAAAAATTACTACCTGGCATGGGCTGAGGTAGTCTGTTTCCCTGATTAATTATTATTCAATATTTATGCATTTCCTTCATAATTTCTTTATTCAATATACAGTTTAGATTTCTCTAGGTAATTTTAATGAACAGCTCTTTAAAATGTGTATGTGCTCTAAACAATTAGTAAAATCTCAGAGCAATCTTCCCATCTGAATCCATCTCATTACTTTCTTGGAGGGAAAAAGAAAGAAAAAACGTCAAGCTGAGAGACTGGGCAGAGGACTTGATAATATAAATTTTGTGATGAAATCGTGATGAGAGTTACATGTACTACATAATCTTACAATGACTCTTTAGCAGTTGTTTCACCTTTAAAGCTAGATGTTAATTTATAGATTTTAATATGCTATAAATGATAATGGGATGTTGAAGAAGAAATTTCTGTAATGTGCAATCATACCCTGTGTGTTCATTTTAATATATTTTAGGTGACAACCCTTTTTTAAAGCCCTGGTCTCTTTACCTTTGTAATTCTACAGCTCAGAACTCTGTCCTCTCCTCCATGTTATGTTTTTTCTTCACCTCCATTTCATGCTGGCTTTTCTTAGGTATCACATCTATATCTGACAACCATACCAAAAAAAGACAGAAAGCCTTATTTTGTCAGCCCACCTGGCTGTCACCACCACTTTCTTGTTTCTAGGGGAAAAAAAAAATTAAAAAATATTGGGGCTTCTGTCTGCCAGACTCTGAAGCTTGCAGTTTTAAAATTCTGTGGTATTAATTTTTATATATCAGGCCAGAGACAGCATTTCAGATTGTATTCCAAAATATTCCATGCTCATTCTGCACAGTATCATGAGGCCTAATATTGTACATGGGAGTTAGAACTGAGAGCCTGATCCTGCAGCCAGTATGATTTTCCTCTTTACCTTAATTTGGGCACAATTCAGACCTAGGTATATAAATGTGTGTTTTTATAACACAGTGGCCAGACAACTCACAAGAGGCAGGAAACTGGAGGCAGAATCTTTTGATAGCCTGCATCCATACTGAAGGAGATGCATGCACTGGCTGGGTTTGCAAAAAATGTTAATCAATTCATATCACAAAAATATTAAAATCACAAAAAAAAAAAAGAAAAGAAAATAAGTTGATGGGTGATCTCAAATGTAGCATGATTCAAATAAACACAAAAAGGTGTTGTGGTGAGATTGATAAAGTCTAATCTTGCCATCTGTGCTAGGACAAAGCTGGAAGTGGCCTCCAGAGCTGGACCAAGCATTTAGATGCCGGATTGTAATTAGTAAGATTGATGGATACAAAATTACAAATAACTTTTTGGTTAAACCAGCTACCAGTCAATTACCACAAAAGTTCAGAAGAAATTAAATGTTTTGGTCATTTTGACTTGTATAGATATTATTTTAGAATAATGAATCTGCCAAAGGCCTTCAGCTTTTACTCATATTTTTTAGGCTGAGTAGCTTTCAGCATTGCATTTCCCTTTAAGAAATGTGCTGCAGAAATGTTTGTTCAATAAGGACTGCCAAGGAACACAGTAACATTCTTGACCATTCAGAATAGACACACACAAAGAAAAAAATGCGATCTGAAACATTTTCTGTACATGAACTCCAAAGGTCATTTACATCATGATTGTAACATTCATGTAACACACTAAGGCCTTTACCTTTTTTGACTACAGCAGTACTGATTTGGTCCTTAGCTGAGATATAACCACACAATATTGCATTGCTTACTTTTAAGTTACTTAAGTAAACTTTAGTATTTTTGAGGATTATGGCAATGTTTCCACACTTAAAGAACAAAATGCTAACATAAGCGGTTAATACCTCGTGAAGCATTTATTAGATTTTCATGGAAATGTTTTCAGACAGCAGTTGCACACCTTCCCTAAATCACCACAAAAGGCTGTTTTGGCTATATTTGTAACTAATTTTTGTGTATCAAAATGTAAATATCAAAGCCTTTTGCCAAAATACAACAGCAATCCTGGCTAGAAAATTACTCTAGGAAAAAAAAGGAATTAGTTCAGTAGTAAGTTCAAGTTGCAGCTGGCCATAACCACAGGTAAAAATCATGGTTTGATACTCAAATCTGTAACTGTGGGGAGAGGGGGGAATATCTGATGATACACATAGGTGTTTCAGAAGCAAAATAACATTCTTTCCTGGAAGAGTGGCTAAGCATTGGAACAGGCTCCCCAGGGAGGTGATGGAGCCACCATCCCAGGAAATGTCAAAAAACCCGAGTGGATCGTGGCGCTCCGCTGTGCTTGGGTGGGTACGCTGCTATCCAGGCGAGGGCTGGGCTTGACGATCCTGGACGCCTTTTCCAGCCTCGATGGCTCTGATTCTCCGCAACTAAGGAATAAGGCTCTGCTCCTGAGGATCTGAGGTTGCCGGCAAGACATTTTGGGGCTGTAAAGCTTCACACCAACACATGCACGCCAGGCGTCTACCGAGACACGAGCGCTTCAGAGATTTCGGGAGACACGAGCACCTTTAAGATTCACTAGGAGCTAATCACACCCCAAAACGCGGCCCCGCGGCGCATCTCCCACGAAAACAGCACCGCAAGGGGCGGCACTCGGGACACGCGCGGAGAGGACGGCGGCGGAGCTGGGTGGGGCAGGGGAGCGGGGGGAGGCGCGGACCGGTGGCACCGGCACCAGTGGCACCGGTGGCACCCTGCGCGGGGTGTCACCGCTCACGCTCGCCGCTCGGTAGAGCTCCGAGCTGTCCGGAGAAGGGGCGCGGGCCGGGCGGGGCCCCGCGCGTTGGTGCCCGCGGGTGCGCTGGGCTGGGCTGGGCAGGCGGTGCTGCCCCGCTGCCGCCCCGCGGGGCTTCCGCGCGTGGACACGTCCTGAGGGTGCGCGGCCGGGCAATTAATCTGGCGGCGTTAATGAGTGCTCCGCGGACGGAGGGAGCCGCCGGCGCCGGGCGGTCCCGCTGCCCCTCCGGGCCGGTGTCCCCGCATTAAGGCGCTGCTGAGGATCGCGGACGGGGCTCGCGGAGGAAATTGAGGTTTTCCTTCTTTCTTCTTCTTTTTTTTTTTTTCCCCTCCTTTTTTTTTTCCCTTTTTATTTTTTTCTGCTGGGAAGGGGATGCGGAGGCGGCGGGCGCGCAGCCCCGCCCGCCTGGCACGGCTGGCCCCGGCCGGCGCTGCAGCCCTCACCTTCCCCTCCGCCTCCTCGCACCTTGCCTGCTTGTCTGTCCTTTCGCTCTCAAACACCACATGTGTTTCATTTTGACGTTTTTGTGGGAAAGATAGCGTTCAAAGGGCGAGCAGCAGCCTTTGGCACCGTGTGCTGGGGCTTGGCAAATAAGTGTGTCATCAGTAATTCATTTATTTTAGACGATCCAGACCTGAAAGATATTGACCCTACAGTATTAAAACATTGCCATGCTGCGGCTGCAACGTGTATTCTGGAGGCAGGGAAGCAGAAAGCTGACATATCTGCTATAAGGTACTCATACTTGGAAGCTGCACGAGGTTGTTACTGAAAAGTGTACTGCTGAGTTAATCTTAACAGAAGACTAATAAATTCTTTTTCCCTGTAGCACGTGCCTAGAAGACTGCAAACTGGATAAAGAGAGAATAGAACAATTTTGCACCGAATATCAGGTTTTTAAACCAACTTTAGCATATTAATTTTTCTTCTTTCATAGGAATTTATTGAACCTAGTAATTTTATTTTTTTTCTCTTGCTTCAGAAAAACAAGGATGCATTGGAAATCCTATTGGGAAGGTAGGTCAGTCACTCAGCAGAGATATGGTTTCAATTGTAGTTAGTTTGAAACTGTCCTGGAAGACACTTCTGCATACTTTAGGTGATTAAAGTAAGTAATATTGTAACATTAAAAAATAAAGTGCATTTTAAACAAACTCTAGAAAACAGCTATTGAAACTTTTCTTCATTTGGAATTCTGCTCTAAAATAACCTTTTAGAACTTCCCAAGAAGCATTACCAGAATCATGAAAAGTTCTTTATTGATGGACAGCTTGAGAAAATGACCTTTTCTTTTAGCACAGAGGACTTGTAACTGTTGTGTCTTTCAGCATAGGCAGATCTCCTCTCCATATAACTGATGTGTCTTGGCGCTTGGAATATCAGATCAAGGTAATTTTAGCAGATCAAGGTGTTTCTTTAGACTGTTTTAATGCTGAGACCTGGCTTTTTTACATGTTCTTTGTTTTTAATTTAGAACAATCAACTTCATAAAACTTACCAGCCTTCCTATTTGGTGACCTTAAACGTAGAGGTACTGTACTCCCAGCACCCTCAAAGGAAAAAATGCAATTTTAAGATATTTTTGAAATACAGTAGACATTGCTGTTTCTTTGCTTTTTTTCCCCTTCAGAACAGTGATTCAGGATCACACCCAGATGTTAGTTTTAGTTGTACAATGGACCAATTACAGGTACTTGTTTCCTTCATCTTTCTGTGCTTAGCCCCAGTTGTGGATGTCCATGTCTTTAACAAATTGCCAATCAAAATGAATCAATCATATACACTATTATTTTTTTAAAAATCCAATACTGGGAGGGTAAGAGAATTTTCCATAAAAGTTATCCAAGTGTATTTTTACTGTCTTTTCAAATAAAGTTGGAAAGTAACTGAATTTAGTTGCGTGGGGAGTGTTTTACATACGTGCATAAATATTTTGTCTGTGTTCATAACTGTAATCCATATGTATATGTGGGAGGAAACTCATCATTTTCTGAAACTCTGGTTTCCCGTGCTTCAGAGAAATGATTAAAGAAGCTGGTTCAGTGATTTAAATGTGTCATGATTAAAAATAGAGAAGGAACTGAAGGCTCTTCAGTGGTGTTAATGACATGTAAGAAATGTCCTGAAACAAACGTTGATCTTTGTTTAGCGATTTAAATGTGTAACTGAACAATGGAGGTATTGTAATGCTTGGAAGTGACCAAACTCTGGAGGATCGGGAAGAGGGCTTGGTGGGAGAGAAAAGCAAGATACTAGAACTTAAGGTTTACACCTCCTCTTTATAAGTGTGTCTCAAAAGCTGTCCTTTTGTCAGTAATGAGTGTTTCTAGTCTGTTTGCTGGCATAGTAAACCTGATGTGCTTTGGCTGGAGAATGGTCCTAGTACAAAATTGCACTCAAAATATTTTCAATGTTTTAGAAATCCATGTAGTGCTTCAAAGCCAGAAGCAAATGTCAGCATTAGCCATCGTGGCAATACCAATAAAATCTACGTGTAAATAATAATTATCTATTTTGGGAGAAAATACATTTTAAAAAGTGTTTCCCTTCAGTTTCCACTTTTCTGACTACATTGTAAAATACAGAGCTATTTAATTATTTGCTTGCATTGTTCATCAGTTGCAACACTTCTTTGTACTACAAGGTGCTGGTTTCACATGAGTCTCTGTTTAAAAAAATAATCTGTTCTTCTAGCTGACCTTTAAAAAATATGCTTATTCTAAGACTCTATTTCATCTCTTAGGACTTAGTGGGAAAGCTAAAAGATGCTGCAAAAAGTCTAGAACGAGCGACTCAGATGTGATTGAAGGAAGGTGTCAGCCTGCTGAAGCACTCTCCTTCCTAAGTGTCTCCTAAATGACAAATGTCTTTCATCTCTTGATGCAAACCGGGGTTTTTTTAAGTCCTTGGATGTGAATTAAGTGAATTTTTTACGTCTGCACTGGGTATTCCCTTCTCATGTAGTTGGTTTTTTTTGGTGTTTTTTTTTTTTTATTAACTCCTGTTAAATATTTGCTGAACTGTCGTGTCATCAAAGTATTCCTTCTATCCTATTTTGTATATTTTTACAACTGTCACTGCTTATTTTTCTCTGTGATCTAATAAAGGTTTATTCGCGCCTGTTGTGCAATTTCTATGGATGAATTAGCTGTACCTAAAAGTAAGATGCTAAATGTTAGATCAGCTCAGCGAGGCAAAAGCGCCTTCTTCCCGTGCCGCGGCTGCGGCGCGTTCGCTGAATCGCCCGCCGCGCTTTGTCACTTCCAGCCGCTCTTACATCTCTCCTACGAGGAAAAGTCGGAGCCCGGCGCGGGGGGCAGGAAAGGACTCGGTTGAATCTCGTGGAGGCGGCGGAAAGCCGGCAGAGTCCGCGGGAAGGAGCGGAGCGGGGCGGCGGCGGCGGCTGGACGGCGCGGCCGCTGCCAGCACCTCCCGCTCGCCGGGGCAGCGCCGCTCTCCGCCCGCAGGTGCGGAGCGGCTCCGAGGCGCGGTCCGGCCGCACCTGCCGCCGAGGGAGAGCGGCCCCGCGGAGGCTGCGCGGCGGCGGCCGGTCCCGGACAGCGGAGCGGGGCTTTTTCCTCTCCGCTCCTCAGCGCCCGAGCGGCGGGCGGCGTCTTGTCCCCGCCGGAGGCGAGCACCGCGAGGTGCACCCCGCTCCCTCCGTCCCGCCCGCGGGCTGTGGGGACACCGCGGCTCCCCGCCACAGCCGCTCCCGCCGCCGCTCGATTGGGTCACGGGGAGGCTGCCGGGCCCCGGCGGCAGCGCCGCTAATTCCCAGGCCGCCCTTAAGGAATGAGGCGCCCCACGTGACGCTGGCGGGGCGGGCGAACTCCGAGCCATTTTGGGGACGGTGTCAGTTTCCACTGTGTGCCTTCAGCGTTGCATTCTTCCCTCCTCCGCCCTCCGCCCGCCCTCCTTCCCTCCCCGGGTCCCCGCCACCAACTATGAAATAACAACAACAATAATACTCGTAATAATAACAATAATAATAAAAGAAGGAACGCGAGAGAGGCCGCGAGGCGGAGCGGGGGGCAGAGGGAGAGACAATGGGCTGGTGGAGAGAGGACCCATCCGGACCGGGGAGCCTGTGCGCTCGCCGCGCCTGAGCCGCCCGGGCGGCCAACTCGGAGGGAGCGGAGAGCGAGGGAGCGAGCGAGAAGGGCCCGCGAGGAGCGGAGGAGACCCGGGCGTTCTGTAACTAAAATGAGCGGAGCGCAGCGGCGGCGGCGGCAATAAGCTTATTGCAATTGACAGCGTCTGCAGTTCATTTCAAGATGGCCGCTTGGCTCACATTCATTTTCTGCTGAACGACTTTTAACTTTCATTGTCTTTTTTGGCCGCTCCGATCATCACCAACCGGCTCCGTTTTCCGGGTACGTATGAAGCGAGGTGTCGCCTTACCGAGGGCGGGGGGCGAAGGGGGCTCGGCGGCGGTTTTCGGCCGGTTTGGGGGCTGCAAAGGGGCGCCTAGGTGTCCCCCGAGCTCTCCGTATGGGAAAAGCGCTGACAGGCTGCTCTAGCCACACACACACATACAGACACGCAGCAGCAGCAGCCTGTGCACTCGCTCGCGTTACGCACCCACATTTGCAAATTTTAGTTCCTTTCTTTCTCCAGACGCCCCCTAAAACCTTTCTGTGCACATGGCCCCCGAGGAGAATATTTATATTTCCCGACCCTGCTGCCAGCCCGGCCCGAGCGCCCTTTGTTTAAAGGCAGATTTTGATTAAACAGGGACGTTCGTGAAATCTGGAGCTGCCTGGGTCAAGTGATTTCAGTCCTCCCCGAAAGAAATGTGTCTGGGGGGGGTTAAAATGTCAGATAATGCACCCATTTTATAGAGACGGAGCCAGTGGGGGGTAGCGATCCTCCTGGGGGGGTTGTTAGGCGCCGGGGCACCCAGCAGAAAATGTTATTAACTTAAGTTGGACAAGTACTTCTGTGAAATTGGATGGGTTGTAAGATGGCGGTTCCCAGTTGTTTCCAATGTCTCCTCTTACATTTCTGCTCTAAATGCTGAACTTTAGGGGTTTTTGCCTACTGGGAGAGGCAAGGGGTGGTCAACGGCGAGGAATAACTTTTTTGGGGGGTAAGGGAAGCACTTTTTATGCGGTCTTGGGGAGCTGGGGCGAGCGGTTTGCTGGAGCCTTTGGAGCAAAGGTGATGTGTCTGCGGGACGCGGAGGGGGGGTGGTGTGTGTGAATTTCTTTTCTCTGGTTGGTATTTTTTTTTTTACCCTGAGCCCGGGAAGGGTAAATTTACATGAAATCCTTTGTCAGAACTTAAAGATGTCACGAGTGGGCTCCTCGTGCTGCTTATGGGCAGCACTTGAAAGTTGCTGGTGTGATGTTTTTATAATTGAATGGCCTTGGCAATATATAAAGCGGGATGTTTCTGTGTGTCTGCTGTAAACATTTGCAAATAATCAGGTGAAAATAAGCAGGAAAAAAATCGCATTTCCATAAAAGTGAGGCAGTAACTTTTCAGCCTCTAAAAACTTTGATTCACTCCTCCACTCTCCAGGAAAGTCGAAGAAAACCTGGGCATGTGTGCCCATTTGCAAGCTTGTCGCTAAAAGAATTTTTTTGCGTAGTCTGTAGTGGTGAGAGCAGCTTCTGTAATGGGACTGTCCCTAAGACCAGGGACGTTCAGTAGAGTCCAGTAAAACTACTTTGAGTGACTCTGTGCAGCCCGTCCTGGGAACTGAGACTTGTGTTGCACTTTGCCAGAGACACGAAGTCTTGACCTACCTGGTCGCTTAGATATTACAAAATAAACATTTTACTGTATTTTTAAAAGTAGATAGATTGTGTCCTACGCCTAGTCCCAGGGAGGCGATTTAAGAGCCTGGGGTCCCTTGGCACTCTGTTGCCAATATTGAGGTCCTCTCTCGCTGTAGCGAGTTGCGCAGAGATACTTGAGGTTCGTGTGCCTCCTCTGAAAGAACTACTGTCCTCTCCTTTAAAACATATGCGGCCATTCTTGACCGAAAGAGTAATAACAGGCTCGGTAGTACAAGTGGCTCTGGCTGATAATGGGTGAAGATGTAGAATGAAGGCTGCTTTATTCCTGATGAGAGTTTTCCGAGAGGAGATGGGTACAAAGTACACAAACCTACCCGAGCGATGCTTCTGTTTTTTTATGTATGTATTTTCTGTTAGAGACCTGTCGAGCAGGGTTTGATAGCTTATTGCCTTTATGGATTTTTAATAATGTAGCTGATTCTTAGCAGGAGAATGCACTTCTGTTTTTCTTCATTTTGACATAACTTGTTTAAGGCCTCTGTATAATCGGTTGGCTGGCAGTGTTTACTTGTAGCAGGTATTATCCACATATATTTTACGTTTAGTTGTTCCATGTGTCAGTGTGTAAATATATATTGTCCTGGCTAAGAGGCTGTTTGTATTTCTGTGGAGTGTTGGCATTCACCGTGAGATCAGCAGAGGCAGAAAAAAACATCTGAAAGGGTTTCCCTCGTACCAAGATATTAAACTCAGGCTGATGTAGTAAAATGTGCTGCGTTCATGTTACATCCCCGCAGGCACAGACACGCGTGTGCCTTTGCGGGTGGCTTTTGGGGAGAAATGAAGTGCCTAGTTCAGCTCGCTGGGGAAAATCACTGATTTTCAAGATAGCTCATAGCACGTTGAAAATGTGCTAACTTTGGGCAATAAATAATCCGCATTTAGGGGTTGCTTCGACAAAACAGGTTTCACGGTTGAATTTAATCCCCCTCCATTTAGGAAGGGGCTTCGCCTGCGTGAAATAAACGCGTTAATGTCTTGAAAGGTTTGTCCCAGTCTGTCAGGGCTGGGAAGGAATTCTCGGTCAGCCGACTTGTGTGACCTCGGTCACTGCTGGGGTTTTTTTTTTTTTTTTTGGTTTAGATATTTATAAATTATAAGGTAGTGACTTGAACAAATAAAACACAGAACCGTGAAAGCTGTCCATGTGTAAGTACCCAAAGGGACTCCAGAGCCGCCGGCTTCAGGGCGCTGGGTTCTTCAGAGAGGCGTGCAGAAACTCCGTCTCTGCCTTTTCTGGGAAAAGCAAAACCTCGGTATCAGTTTAAAAGGAAGAAGCGGAGGGTCAGGGACCCTGGAAGCGACATTTAAACCGCAGTACAATGCAGCGGGGGTCTTGCTTTCCCGCACGGTGCTGGGAACAGCTTTGGGGACCTGGTCTGGCTTGGTGCTTCTGGAACTTTGCTTTTCTTTGTGCTGGCCGGCTGTGGTTTGGTGTTGGGGAGTTTTATCTGCTGTTCACTCAAGGGTTCTCCTGCAGCAACAAGAGAAGTTTCCTGGTCGGGGTCGCTCGTTGGCGCTGTGCACACTTCTGACGAATGTTGTACCCCTGTCCTGGTCAGTTTTGCTGACGTTCAAAGCTTTTAGAAACCTCACTGTGTTGTCATTTTTTTTTTCCCTTTTTTTTTTTTCCCCTCCCGCTGCCTAACATTGAGGTTTGCGAGTGCCTGCTCGCATGTTGAGCATTCGGTGCTGCGGTGAGAGGTGGCTCGCAAGCTCTGCCTCGGGAGGAGAGGGGACCGAGGGCAGGAGTTGGTGTGCTGGGAGCACTGACCTGGGGAAATTAATAGCTTGGAGTGGAGCAACGTTGTTACATTACATTTTTCAGGATCTGGTTGACAGAAAATAATTTACTCTGCAATTGACGTGGCTGACAGGGATTTTTCCCTGTGTGTGCTTTTCCCTTTATCTGTTATTCCCTCTCATTTTAAACAGTGTGTATGCATCCAGCGTTGGTGCCAGTGCGTGCGATGGGGTTTGATGGGTTTCAGACTATGAAAATGACATTTGTTTTTCACTCTTGTCTCCGCATTGTGTTGACAAGGTGTTGATTTAGCTTTAGGAATGATCTGGTCACATGGTCCTTCGCATGTTGTCACTAATGTACCGTTTAAAGTCGGTTTGGGCTTTTCGCCCCTTCTCTGTGTGCTTTATTGCTGAAAAGGGGGGTTACTTAAGTATCCGGAGACTTGTTTTCTCCCGTCCAAGCACCTTACTCTGGTGATGCAAATCTCTTTACACCTTTTACAAAACTTTGCACCGCGCTTGCCTCGTCCGCGGGATGATTTTCAAACAAGCGTCAAAAGGTGGGAGAAG